CAAGCGCTGGTGCGTGAAATTTTTAACTATTTTCCAATTTTTGAACTATTTTTGCATAGACAAAAGCAAAAAGCAGTGAAAATCATTAATAGGCAATCGTTCGATGGGATGAATTGCACAAAACGCATGCTCGCACCGGCTAGTCTGGTGCGCGTTGCTAGTTATGTTACCTTTACCCATATAAATATAGCACTCGTCGTATTGACGAAATGCAGTTGTGGTGCTGAATAGGAATGTGTGCGACTTGGTGAACTGAAACATTCCTGTTCATTTTGATTTCTAACATATTTTCGTGTTTATACACATATATTTATTAATACATCTATATGTTTATACACACAAAATATCTATATATACGACAGGAATACCAAAACCGCTCGTACTATCAGTGTAAAATTTCCCTGTTAGTTTTGTTTCTAGGATGTTCCTGCACGCCATATGTGCCCCTGGACAGCATACCTCCTGGACAACATACCTCCAGTTAGCACTTAACTCCTTGTTCTATATATTATTATTAATGTCTTTATTGTATTTTCCGGTTTAAGTGTTTTAATTCTCAACGTTGGTTGTTCACACTTAAACTTGTCCCGTTAGCAGTCAAACCCCATTCTAAAAAATCTCTTCTGTACTTACGTGTTCAAGGCACTGTGGGTATCATGGAAAATGGCCAGAAACGACAGAAAGCTAAAATTTTGAGAGAATATTTTCTGTTCAATTGCTATCTTACATATTCAGATTCATCTCTCACAAATACCGACTTCCTATGTATGAATACGTGAAATTTTCGGTGAGAAATTTCATAGCTCGGGGACCAGACAACATTATTACTATTTTGCAAACATAAGCGGTAAAGCAGTGAACATTTTTAATAGCAAACGTTCGCTAGACAGCAGTGCGCAAAGCGCATGTTCGCATCGCTATCCTGGTAGGCGCCACGGCATTAATATACACGAATACGAGAGAGAAATTGCCAAACAAGTTTCATTCCATCGCAGCGTTTCATTTTTTATACGTTTTCAAAACAATAATAAATAAAATATGTGAATTTCAGAACTGAACAGAATGCAGGATTATCTTAATCTTTTTTTAACAGGTAAATATCGAGCATCACTGGACCGTTATTCATGGATGTTCCTCAGACAACTGAGTTTTATCGACCTGAAAGTACCCGTATTGTTTCCTTGACTGGTTACTGCTAGCAAAGTTAGATACGTGCTTTTTGTGCAGATGCTCGCTGTATCAACCTCAGCATTTTTCCAGCCGAACTGTCATTTCATCAAAATTTGTCTTCCTCTTTATGTTTTCCCCCTTCTCTCCCCCTTGCACCCAACTGCTCTGCACAAAAACGTGAGAAATACTCAAATTTATCGCAATCGCAAAGACGAGTGCGTTTTGCGGATCTCGTAATCCTTCTGCTCCAACATCCTCCTCTGTATTGCCAAATTTGCATTTTTTGATGAAGGATCGCTTACCGGAAAAAAGATCGGTCTTCGTGCAAAATTCATAATCATGCACGATAGAGATGTACACGTCGCAGGCTACAACACCACTATCCTAATCAACGTTCTTTATGCGTTTTGTGCTGTGCAACAGCTGCACAAAACACATACTGTCATGCCGTTGTGTGTGTATGTGTGTCGGTTGCATGTTGTCTGCAACTTTCAACTCGGGAACCACAAAAGCTAGGAAACTGAAAATTTAGGGTAATGTCTCCTGCCCAAGTTCAACCCAGAAAATTAAATTCAACCTTTCCGTGCACTTGGGAATCACGTACAGTCCTATAAAAGTTTTGGCAGGGAAATTATTATCTCGAGAACCATGGAAGCTAGGAAGCTGAAATTTCGCGGTTAAATTCCCTGTCCACACTCAATTACCGCAAATTTAAATTCAGCTTTCCCACGCACCTCGACCACTTAGACCTCGCGAAAGTTTCGGTGGGAAAAATTATTATATCAAGAACCGCGAAAGTTCGGAATCTGAAGAGAGTAATTTCCTTACCAACATATGAGCCACAGATTTAATATTCAGTCTTCACACACCTCTTGGTCCACATACGGCCCTGTGGAGGTTTTGGCAAGGAAATTATTATGTCATGAACTGCGAAAGCTAGGGAACTGAAATTCTGCGGTTTTGTCCCTTGCCCAAGTACAACCTCGTAAGCCGCTACATCTGGGTATCACCTACGACTCCATGAAAGTTTTTGCGGAGAAAATCATTATTTCGGGAGCCAGAAGAGCTAGGAGACTGAAATTTCAGGAAAATGTTTTCTGCCTAAGTAGAGGCTTCACAAAATCGAATTCAGTTACTGAGTATGCCGATGTCTCGCGTACGATCACACTTGAAAGGCAAAAAATTAGGAGATTGAAGTTACCCTCCAACATTTCAAATTCAGTTTTCACGTACCGGCATGTGAAATTCTTAGTGGGAAATCCCGCAGCTTAAGAACCAGACAATTTTTGCACGAAACAAAGTGCAAAGTAGTAAAAGTCTTTAGCAGACAAACGTTCGTTGGACGGAACTGCACAAAACGCACGGTCACACTTGTCACTATTTATTTCCCTTGTGTGAAAGAGAATGCTAAAAAACCTAGGCTGAAATGTATCAGGCTTGCCGGCACGATCTTGCATTTTAGCACCAGATTGAAGTACTCAAGTTGTTAACAACATGTTAACATACTCAGGTTGTTAAGTTTACGCCTGCCTTGTGCGCTCGCTAGCGTAAATTATAATAGATTTTGCATAAAAGAAAATGAACATTTTCCATTTAGCTGTCGTTCCCTGGAAACGACCGAGCTGATCATTGAGAAATTTTCCCATCAAAACTTTTATGTGCCGTACGTGAGAACCACGCATACCTGGAGGCCGAGTTTCAAATATTTATGTTGCACGTGGATGGGAAGCATACCTTTAAAATTTGGGCCTTCCAGCTTTTCTGGTTGCTGAGTTAGTAATTTTCTCGACAAAACTTTTGCATGCCCGTACGTGAGTACTACGCAAGGGGCTAAATTTGGAATCTTTAGCTTACGTGTGCACAAAGAATATTGTTGCAAAGTTTCAGCGCTCTATTCTTTCTGTTCCCGAGATCGCTTTCCCGCCAAAAAATTTTGCATATTTTTTAAGGCGTCCATGCGTGGCGCCTACGCATACGCGGGCGAAGATATTAAAAAGAGAAGGTCGCACAGATGGTGGGCACATACTTTCGAATTTCCACTCTTCTAGCGTTCATGGTTCTCGAATTGAAAGTAAGTGACAAAAAGTGCGAACACACAGCCAGCCTCTTCCCAATACGCGTTTTTACATATATGCAAAAACGCACAAAATAGCCAACAGGTGCCCATGTCTTGAACTGTGGCACGGGTAAATGATTCATGCTGTTAATTCTCTGACTGCAGCATGTTTAGTGCAAAAACCGTGATCGCACCGACAAGCTTGCTGCGTGGAAGTCTGTATTTCAATTATTTGGTTTTAATAGGCCAACGAAGAACGTACTTCACTAAGTAGGAATCTCGCTGAGCTGCTTTTCGAGCTACTTGAGGACCGCAGCGTGACTATTCTCATCGGACTTCCCGGTGTTTTTGGCACTCGCGAGTCATACATGCGTACCATGTCACTTTGCGCGATAGCTGTGCCTTCGTCCTGCGCAAATGCATAACCACCTGAAATTATGCAGAATTGTGTTTGTGAAATTATGCGCACTGTTTGAATGGCAAAGCCTGCACCCGCTCGGTTAGCAAGCACCGAATCTTGCATTTAGTGTTAATTTCTGGTACTGTTTAGCTGTTAAATGAGCAATTTCGTCGAGAGATGAAACGCAGATCAGGATTACTAACAAACTGTCCACTTGGCGAACCAGCACTAGCGAAAAAAACAGGGGAAGTTGCCAGATGCGTCGAAAGAGAACCAGAAGACGAACTAACGGCTGAGCGAGATGTCCAGGCTTCTACCGATAACTTTCTTAACATGTCATTCCGAGTAAATTTTAACTGAGGGATCAGAAAAAACAAATATCAAAATGAAACAGTTGTTTGGAAATTTGATCTACTGACGATCTTAAAATAGTAGTAAGTAGTAGCCTTCTGGATTCAGCTTGATGGGTTCTGCTCGTGGAAAAAGAAATCCTAAATTCCGCTGACTTGTTTCGGACGTAAGTTGAAAAAAACCCGCAAATTGTTGTTAAGTGTGCTCTGCCTTCGATTTTATTTTGAATGCTTCTATTATCAGTTGAGAATGAATTACGGAGAACGTTTTGGTGTTGATTCTAGGTCGTGAAAATAATTGCTTACAAGAGGAAAAAAAGAACGACATAAATTCGAGCACCAATTACAATTGAAATAGGAAAGTGAAATTAAGGCATTACGTTGCTTAGTCTGTATGTTGATGAGGCTTAATGCTGATTCAGAAGCGCGTGCGACGAAGTCCTTCACTTTCAGCAGCGGATAATAGAAATCACTGAACTGTTTGACATCAAATGCTTGTGATACTACTTCATCCCGAATCGTTCGGTAAAGTGATTGCTGGAATCTGAAATTTTAACATCAGAGGAAAAAGGTTAATTTAAAATGTATATTTGAGTGAACATTTTGAATGACCTGTGCTTCTTCCTTTATCCTTTCATTCTTAGTCATAAATACAGACTAAGTACCCAGAAATTCTTATCGTCCTATTCTTTGATTTTAACGATCTAACAAGCTGTCTTACAGGCACAAGTGCGACTACGGACAGCTTGCTCTTTATCTTCTTGGATAAGAAATAAGAATCATACGTCGAATTTTAGACTTTTGAAGGATTAGTAATTGTTTTAAAATTACAATTTAGTTACTGCTTGAGACGTTAGAGAAGTTATTGTTTGTCTAATTCGCTCAAAAATCGTGTAATATCGGTAACTTTGCAGGGGTTTGAAAAATAAATTGGGAGTAAGTCATTACAAACTATCAAAAACCAAACCCTCTGCATTCGCTCTCTGCAAGAGGCTGAAGAATCGGAAATAGTCTGAGTGGTAGCCTGGGCTGCTTCTACAGAAGAAAAAATCATTGGCGACGCGTCATGCGTTTTTGCAGTGTTTCGTGCTGTAATATGAGTATTCGAAATTCCGCTAGCTAGAAACCTCTTGTACATACTGGTCCTCGAATTTCGGGAACTTAATTA